TTCATTTATTCATATTTCATATTTCACTCATGTCTTGCCTGCATGTATGTCTGTGTGATGTGCATTGGTCTGGCGAGGGTGTCAGGTTCCCTTGAACTGGAGTTGCAGATAGCTATGAGTTGCCATGTGGTTGCTGGGAATTGAACCTGGGTCCTCTGGAAGGGCAGTCAGTACTCTTTAACACTGAGTCATCTCTCCAACACCCCCAGCAACCTTCTTTTAATGGTGATATATCTTGCCACTCAGTGAACTTTTCCATAGAAGAAATGATTAGTAATCCTGGGAAAACGTGTAGCACCACTGATTTGGAGATCAGTCCCAGGGCAGGATTTAAAGGGACTAACATAACCCATGCACTTAATTCTGTAGGGCTTTCCATCTTCAATCAACTATTTTTCTAGTTTGCTTCTCTGTTGCTGTGATAAAACACGAAACAACTTCAGGCGGAAAGGGTTTATTTGGCTAACAGATTACAGTGCATCATCAGGGGATGCCAAGGCAGGAACACAAGACAGGAGCTTGAACAGAAATCATGGAAGGAAGCTGCTTCCTGCATTGCTCAGTTACCTTTCTTATATTGTCCAGGGCCCATGCCCAGGATAGCACTGCCTACAGTACTAGCTGGGTGGTGATGACACACATCTTTAATTCCAGCACTTAGGAGGCGGAGACAGGTGGATCTCTGTAAGTTCGAGGCCAGCCTGGTCTATAGAGTGGCCCAGGACAGACAGACAGGCTCCAAAGTTACAGAGAAACCCTCTCTCTCGGGAAAAAAAAAAAAAAAAAAAAAAAAAAAAAAAGGAAAAAGAAGAAAGGAAGGAAGAAGAAAGAAATGCCCCACAGAGGTGGCCACAGACCAATCTGACAATCTGACAGAGACAATTCCTCGGTCCCTCAGTTTGGGGTTCCTCTTGCCAGGTGTGTCATTTTGACAACTGAAACTAATGTGAGTGACACTTTATCCACGTTTTCGATACACGAAGTATATTCTGAAATAGAAGCACGCTTGGAGCAGTGACTTTGATAGCTATGGGTTTCTATGAGAGGTGCTTAGCCTTCTGGAAAATATTACAATTCAGATGTGTATGAATGTGTATGTACATGTGTAGAGGTGCCTTCAGAGACCAGAAGAGGGTGTCAAGTCCCCTGGAGCTCAGATCAAAATCAGGTCCTCTGGAAGACCTCTTTTAATCTCTGAAGCAACTCTCCAGCATCCCATCCTCTTATCTACCCCTTTCCTGAGAGAGAGAGAGAGAGTGTGTGTGGTTTGTTTTTTCAAGACACGGTTTCTCTGTGGCTTTGGAGGCTGACCTGGCACTCACTCTGTAGACCAGGCTGGCTTCGAACTAAGGTGTGCATCACCAGTGATAGGAACTGTCTCCCAAGCTGTCCTTTTGCTTCAGCCTCCTGAGTGCTGGGGTTGTGCCACCATGTCTGGAATTTTTTCTTTTTTGCACTTATTTTTTGTGTGTGTGTCTAGGACACGTATATGCAGCTGCATTCACGTAGAGAGAGGTCAGAGGACAACTTGGGAGTTACGCTCTCCTCTCACTATGGGTTCTGGGTATTGAACTCAGTTTGTCAGGCTTGGTAGCAAGTGATTTTACTCACTGAGTCATCTCACCAGTCCTGTTTTATCTTTTATAGGTTTTTTTCTTCAGTTCTGGGGATCCAATGTGGGACGTCATAAATGTAAGATAAGCCTGGTACCACTGACATACTTTTCCAGCTTTGGTTTTAAGTTTTAAATAAGTAGTTGGGTGTAGTCTCACATCTCTCTCTCTTACAACAGTGGTTTTCAACCTTCCTAATGCCAACCTTTTCATACAGTTCCTCATGTTGTGATATCTCCAACCACAAAATCATTTTCTTCGTAACTAATTTTGGTATTGTTATGAATTTGATGTAAATATCTGTTATTTCCAATGGTTTTAGGTGACCCTTGTGAAAGGCTCATTCAACCCAAAAGGGTCACGACCCACAGGTTGAAACACACCTCTGTAGAGGCTAAGGCAGGATTATGGAGTTGGGAGACCAAACCCGGCTCTCTAGCAAGACTGTGTCTCAACACTAAACTCAGAAGATACCCTAAAGACGCAAGCTTTACTTACTTGCAGAATGCACTTGGTGACTGGATTCATTTCTTTGATACTACGTAAGCGTGAGTCAAAAACTATAAATTCTGGCAGGTTTCCTACTGGACTCTGTCTCTTCATACCAGTCTTGAATCATGTGTGTGTGGGGGGAGGAGGGGTCCAGCTGTAGGGCATTTTTCTTTCCTCTTTTGGGGGGTGGAGAAGAATTGAGATGGAGTTTCTCTATGTAGCCCTGACTGTCCTGGAGCTCACCCTATAGATCAGGGTAGCCTTGAACTCCTGCTTGCCTCTTGCCTGAGATTAAAGGTGCATGCCCTCAATGCCCAGCACAGGGCATTTTCTTAGTGATTGATGGGGAAGGGCCCAGGCCATTGTGAGTGGTGCCATCTCTTGACAGGTGGTCCTGGGTTCTATAAATGGTTGATCAAGCCATGAGGTGCAAGCCAGTAAGCAGTACCCTCCTGCCACAATGGCCTCGGCATCATCTTCCAGGTTCTGCCCTGTCCTTTTAAGAGTTCCTGTCCTAACTTCCTCTCTCTCTCTCTTTTTAAAAGTTTTTTTGAGTCAGGATTCCTCTGTGTAGCTCTGGCTGTCCTGGAACTCACTCTGTAGGCCAGGCTGGCCTTAAACTCACAAAGATCAGCCTGTCTCTGTCTCCTAAGTGCTGGGATTAAAGGTGTGCACCATCACCACCTGTCATCCTGACTTCTTTCAATGATGAACAGTGATGTGGGAATGAAAGCTGAATAAACCCTTTCCTCAACTTGCTTCTGGTCATGGTCTTTCATTATAGCCATAAGTAACCATAATTAGGACAGCCTCCAAGGAGGATGTGGCACCCTGGCCTCTTCCTTGCCCCCCACAGTTCATATTAGTGAGTGATTTTGCTATACCATGAGTCTCTGCGATGACAAGATGCTCCCCTCATCAAACAGCATCACAGAGCAAAATCTCCAAAGATTACTGCAAGCCAAAATAACTGTGTGATTAGTGTCTTGTTTTGTAGCTTAGGCTGGCATTGAACTCGACAATCCTGCCTCAGCCTCCTTTGCATGAGGTAAGATTGTGTGCATGCTCTTACCTTATTTTTGAAAATTGATTGTCTCTGTTGTCTGCTACAGTAACACAACTTTTTTCCCCCCTTGGGCCTTGGTCAAAGTAAATTTGAGCTGTTAGTAGAGTGCATGCCTAATGTATTAGTCAGGGTTCACAGGAGGAAGTAGTCCACAGCCCAGATTAACCATCAGTCAGACCTAGCAGGTATGAAGCCCTGGCTTCAAGCCCTAGTACTGCATAAACCTGTTATGGTTTCATGCCTGTACTTCCAGCACTTGGTGGGGCTCAGATAGTCTTTTTTTTTTTTTTTTTTTTTTTTAAAGACAAAAAAAAAAAAAAAAAGAAAGAAAGAAAGAAAAGAAGGCAGATAGGGAATGGCTCAGTGGTTAAGAAAAGAGCACTGACTACTCTTCCAGAGATCCTGAGTTCAATTCTTTGCACCCATATGGTAGGATCTGATGCCCTCTTCTGGTGTAAAGTTCACAGAGCACTCATATACATAATTATTAAAAAGTGACTGGATCTACTTCCCTATATCATCTGTACAAGGTTAGTTCCCATTCCCACCATTGCCCAGGCTCCTCTGTGGCTGAACAAAGGGAAAGTCCTTGTTTAAATCTGAACAGGATAAACTTCTTCCAGGCTCCCTACTGAACTCTGCTTTCAAGTGTTCAATGTGTTGATCATCCCCTCCAGGAGCCCCTTTACCTTAATCTCCCTCCATTTTTGCATGGCAAATACCCCAGGAAGGGAAATTTGGAGGGGCCCAGGGATTAAGATTTCAGTCAGCAGGTCTGAGGTGGTTACAGCAGACCAGGCGACCACAGGGAGATGCAGTGGAGGTGAAATACACCACCAGTTTGACTTTCTTTTCTGAGGCAGGGTTTCTCTGTGTAGCCCTGGCTGTCCTGGGCTTGGCTCCCAAAAGAAAGCTGGTCTAGTTTCACTTGACATGTGCAAGGATTATCTTTGCGGGAAGGAGTGCCCAAAGGGAGAAGTGTAAGATGCCTAGGCTGGCAGCCATCTCTGCTGAGGGTAAGGTCAGACCCTGATCAGATCCCTGATCCAGTTGTTGAGAGCCCTATGAAGGTCTCCCGGGGAAACCAGTTCCTGGGGACTTTGGGACTTCGACACTCTGGGGCAGGATGCTCACCACAGGCTGGGTTCAAACACTCCCCCATCTCATCCTCTCATCTCCCACCTGCAGGGCTCTGGTCCTGACCTCTGCCTGGGCTCTGCTGAGGCTGGGTCTGGTCTCCACGTTTTTTTTTTTTTTTTTTTTTTTTTTTTTTTTTTTTTTTTTGCTTGTCCTGCTAACAGCATGGCTGAGAACTCAGCTTGGACTCTCCTCCAGGAAGACCCCTTTGATCTGGTCAGTCATGCCAGCACTTTCACCTCAGACTTAACTTTCCTTCAGCTTCTCTACCTGCTGTGAAGACCCAGACTGAGAGCTCACCTCCCTTGCCTGGCTGGTCTGGAGAATGAGAGTGGCTCCTGGGTTTTATCAGGAACAGACTGCAGCTGTGATCTGTGCTCTGCTAAGAGTCCATAAATGGACCCTTTCTTGACTTCAGGGCTCAGCTGGCTTCGACTTCTGGCCTGCAGTGAGTTCAGGCTTGCTGCTGAGTCTCATACCAGTCATGAAGATGGAGATGGTTAGCCCTCAGGGTTCCTTGAATTGTTCTGCCTCCTAAGTAGCATAAAAAGGAAAGGTAGGCAGCTGAAAAATAAACAGGAAGAGGGCTAATAAAGTAGAAGGCTGGTCCACAGCCTCTGGAGGAGGAGCAAAGTGAGAGGAAGAGATGGGTGGAGAGGCAGGATGGAGCTCACGGCTCATTTACCAAGGACTGAAACTTATGATTTTTTATTTTTATTTTTCCTTGATTTCCTAGGCAATGATGCAACTAGGGAACAAAAGCACTTGTGTTCTCTATGTGGGCCAGGCATCACAGAGACAGGCTGGCAAAATCATCACCCTGGCCAAATCCTCCCCTTGGGGGGCTAGAAGATCTCTAGGCAACTACAGTCTGATATTTAAGGCCACTTTTGGGTGGGGAAGGATGGAGTGTCCAAGCCCATGATCCTTTGGGAACTTTTCTTAACACAGCCACCTGGACAGCAGGATGGGCAGAGGGTGGCGGTCGAGTCTCTAGTCATACACAGAAGCGGCTCTCAGGGAACTCTCTCCTTGCCTGAAGGACACCTAACTTTCTGTACCAGACAGAGAGAGCAGTGGAGAAGCCACACCACTTCCAAAGGATCATAGCATTGTGTCTAGAGCCCCAAGGTGGCTGGGTTCCCTCAGGAGAGCAGGGGCTCATCCTCTGCCTCAACTACCCAGACCTCTGGCTCAGCCAGTGGCATTAACAATACATCATCCTCATCCTCTGGGGCCAGGACTGTTGTGTGAGGTCCAGCTGGGGTCCAAGTGGGTCCTGGGGGCCACAGGCTAGGTAGGAGGCGGCCTCGGAGGACCTGTACAACTCCAGACAACAGTGAGGGCTCTAGGGACACCGAGGGGAGAGGCCCTGGGGGCTCAGAGACAGTAGCAAGGGCTGGAAGTGTGCTTGGGGTTGGGATTGGTGGCTTGACAGGTAGTGGAGGAGCCTGCTCCCCATCTTGTCCTCCTACTGCCCCGCCCTCACAGGTTTGGCCTGTGCTGTCATCCAGGGCCTCGGAGGGAGCAACAGATGCTGTGACCTGAGATCTGGTCTCAGGGGCCCGAGCTGGGGTATTGGTTCGAGGAAGCAGACCCCAACGACGGAGACGGCGAACAAGACGTCGCACTGAGCGGCCCCGTTGGCGACGGCGGCCCCCTGCAGGACCTCCTGGAGTGATATCTTGGCGCAAGATCTGGAGCAGAGATCGCAGGTTCCCCAGCACAGAGTTCTGCAGGGAGAAGAGGTACACATCAGAGTAAAGGGGCCAAATGGCTGGATGATGCATGGTACAAAGATGGAGATACAGTAGGGTACAAGGCTGGCACATGAGATCCAAGGCTGGAGGAATGACTTACGTCGTTAGGGTTCTCTGTAGGGAAGTCTTCTACAGGTGGGATGGCACCCTGGGCAATAAGCTGACCATAAGAAGGAGGTGCCTGCTGCTGCACAATCTCAGCCTCCATCCGGGAGAGAGGGGCAAAGATGCTAGAAGAAAGGAGGGCCACTCAGTCACTAGTCATTCCCAGTGAGGATGATGTACCTTAGCCTAGAAGGCCTCTCCACGCCATACCCAGGTCAGAGCAGATGGAGCTTTGCCACGGTTTGTCCAGAGTCATGCCCTTTCCCTCCTTACGACTACTCTCACGAGCTAATCCCAGGAAGTACTCCTCAAGGTGGGCCCCATCTCAGCCTCAGTCCCCATTCCGCCACAGCCAGCCCCACTTCAACTGACCTGTACTCCTGGGTGCGAATGGCATAGAGTTTGCAGGTGCAGCCCAGAGCAATGACCAGCAGCAGGCCACACACTAGGCTGCCAATGACTGCCGCTGTGATGACCTTTCGGGGCAGGGCGTAGGAGCAGCCCCACTCATCACTGCCATCAGTACAGTCCGGCTGTCCATCACACACCCACGTCTCATACACACACTTCTCATCCCGGCATCGGAAGTTGCCCGGCTGGCAATGCCGGCAGCGCCTTTCATCTGCTCCATCAGCACAGAATGTCTGGTAGTTGCAGCGGTCGGCAGGCAGGTAGCAGGCTGTGGCACCAGGGGTGCCAGCAGCTCCACAGGGGAAGTGGCCGGGTGGGCAGCCGGGGCAACCCTCCTCATCTGTGCCATCGGCACAGTCCCACGAGCCATCGCAGCGCTGCGCCTCGCTATAGCAGCGCTCACCTAGATTTTCACCAGCCCCCAGGCCTGAACCCAAGCCACAGGGTCTGTCCCATGGTAAACAGTATCCCCGGACATGGTAGGTAGCATTGAAGCCTCGGCCACTGCTCCAAGCAACTGTGTGGTAGGACACAACAGCCTGACCAGACAGGGTCTCCACGGTGACAGGCTTGCCGTTGCTGAAGTGGGTGAGACTACGCAGCAGTCGAGGGGTCTCAGGGGGCCCAGCACCATCATATACATGCACTGCATCTCCATAACCCAAGTCCAGGGCGGTGAAGCGCACTGCCAGCCTCCTGCCATCATGGGGGTCCAGCAGCCACAGGCAGGACTGGGGGTGGGACACTGAGGCCAGGTGTGAATATCCAGGGGAGGAGAAGACCCCATAAAAGTCCTCCAAGGTGAGATTGCAGGGTGGGGTTGGGGCAGGGGCTGGGTTCAGGTTAGGGAATGGATCTGAGCTGCAACCTGCCTCATCAGAGCCATCGCCACAGGCATCAATCCCATCGCAGCGCTGAGCGGCTGGTATACAACGGTGGTTCAAGCACTGGAACTCTTCCTGCAGGCACAGGAGCCAATCTGCAGAGACATCAGAGACCGGGAAGCACCAGAACTCCAGGACTCTTCTCTGGAATTCCCACTTCTAATGGCCCCAGGGCATTCCCCATTCAGCCTACCTTGACTGTAAGACAGCAAGAAGCCCTGGCCCATGGGTGCTCTGGCCCCAGCATAGCTATATGTGATGGTGACATTGCCCCCTGGAAGCTGCAAAGGGCTGGCAGGAGCCTCACACAGGGAGACTGGCGGCTGGAGAGGGGAGCGCAGGAGTAAGTGCTCTGAGCCACATGCCAAGTGCAGCTTCTGAAACCTAGGAGAGACAGGAGAGCAGGGCATGAGGGGTTCTGGATTTTTGCTAGCTCCCTGCCCTTTTGATGGCAGGTCCCTGGTAGCTCAAGAAGCACAAACTCTTGATTACCCATGGTTTAAAAATTTAAATGAAAACTCAGCCAATCCTTTGGCATTGAATATAATCCATGGGAAGAGTTCCAACAGAGGGCAGTGGCACCATCACACCACAGGACAATCGCCCTCCACCCTGCCCCGTCTCCCCTAGAGCCCTCTGAGAGAAATGACTTTGCTCAGGGGCTGACCAGGCTTGTTAAAAGTCCTAAGTAACAAGATCAGGGTTACTACTCTCCAGCTGTTGCAATATCACCATCCAAGTACAGTGCCCATAGTTTAGCTGACAAAACGTTCAGTAGTTCAGTTAGCCACAATGGCTCAGCTCTATAACCTGAGGAGAGGTAAAATCTGAGCTCTCCATGGCTGTACCGCGGGTCACAACAGCCTCTTTAGGTTGCTCTCTTCTTCATGCATCTTTCTTTTTGGAGTTTTTTTGTTTTGTTTTGAATACAGGGTTTTTCTTTGTGTAGCCCTGGCAGTCCTGGAACTTGCTCTATAGACAGGCTGACCTCGAACTCACAGAGATCCGCCTAACTCTGCCTCTTGAGTGCTGGGATCAAAAGCATGTGCCACCACTGAAAGGCTCTGGGTAAATTCTTATCAAGTGAAGTGTGTGAGGCAAACTGCCAGTTGACATGGGATCCAATGAGGAGACTTAGAACATTAGTAGATTTGGGGTAAAGGGATGGGATTGTTGCTTAGAGATAGAATACTCACCTAGGATGTGTGAAACCCTGAGTTGCATCCTAGTACTGAAAGCAAAATAAACAAAACAAAAACAACCAAAAAGGAAAAGAAAGAAATAAACAAAAATACTGGGCATAGAGACTCCACAGGAAACCCCAAAACTTGGAAAGATGAGATGAAGCAAAAGCTTAAGGCTAGCCTGGGCTACGTAGTGAAATTCAGTCTAGAAAACAACCAACAGAAAGAAAGGAGAGCCAAGGGGAGGAGAGAAGAGACGGGAAAGCAGAAGGGATGAGGGAAGAAGATAGGAGGGAAGCAGAGGAGAGAGGGGAAGGGAGAGTCCGATGGAGCAGGAGCGAAGCAGAAAGGCAGACCTGGGGACGGTTTGTTTTGGTAGGGGCTGAATCCAGGAGTTCTGAACACCCTCCACAAGTGTCCCACCAATGAAGTGTTAATGTGGCCCAGCCCCTGAGGAAGGTTCTAAGCCAATGAATGAGTAGGCTATGCTACGGGTTAAAGAATGCATCACAAGATTAGTTGAGCCCAGAATAACTTCTAGAGTCCTTTGGAGATGGCCAGTGCCTAGGCTAAACATCTCCGCCACAGCCCAGCTTCAATTTGCCATCACTGACCTAAGAGCTAAGCTTTAGGAGCAGACCCAGCCAAACCAAGTTCTATTCTTCTGTGGACAAGGATGGAGATGGACTTTGCAGGAGACAGAAGGGACAGCAGAGAGAATCGGGGACTTGCCTTGTTTCTCACCTGACAGTCACTGTCTGTTCCTTGCTGCCCAGGATAACCCAGGTGCAGTTCGCAGGCGAGCTTCGGCTGTCCCTGCCCAAAGGCCGCTGTACAATGCCCTGTACTTCCAAGAGCACTGCTGGGGGGCTCTCACAAGCTGGAGGGAGAAGGTTGGGATACTGGTAGAGTCTTTTAACACTCTGCCCCTCCCCAGGCTTCCTACCTCTGGATGCCTCAAGAAGGTACAGAGACCCCTGCCCACCAGTTACAGCACCGCTGACCCCTCCCTTCCTCTCCTCTTTATTTAAAGACAAAATCATATGTAGCCTAGGCTATCCTCAAAGTATCCATGTGGCTGAGGCTGGCCTTGTACTAATCCTCCTGCTTCTGTTTCCGAGTGTCTCCTTTTCATATTTTTCATACTTCATCTTAAATATCTACATCATAGGTAACACCAGAAGTAATGTTAAGGTAGGCTTTGGGTCAGCCGCAGGGCCCGTAGACACAAGAAACACTGCTTCTACTCTCAGGAAAATGTTACCCTAACTAGGGAGACAAAGCACAGAAATTACATGTAAAAATTGAGTTCATAACAACTACCAGGCACATGCCAACATTGAGCCTCTGTTTCCTCTCTTGTAAAATAATGGATGCCCCCTCCCACTCTAAAACTACAGTATATTTCAGAAGAAGAGTTTCTCTTGGGTGCACATCTTCATTCTGTACTCACCAGGATTTGGGAAAGTGACCCGATCTGGACGGGCCAGAGCACCTCCTAGAGGGGGGATCGAGAAAGGGCAGCGAGTGAGTCACAAGTTTTCTTCACCTGGGCAACTCCAAAGGGAGGCCCATCTGAGACTTCCGGGTAGTTTATAGGAAGAGGAGCCGGAAGGAGGTGCGTGACCTCGCTGAAAGGTCGCCTTCCTTGGCTGTGGGTGGGACAGACGAAGTGGGAAGAGCCGAGAGGGGCCAAGGCTCGACGGGGCGGCGTTCGCAGCAGCGGGGCTCGCCCTGGAGGGCGCGGGACGGCGGGCACTGAGACCGGGGCTGGGACTCTTACCGAGGAGGAGGAGGAGAAGGGGGAGGGCCGGCAGCATCCTGAGCCGAGCAGGGGTGCCCGCAGGGTCCTGCGGCGCCGCTCGTCTACCTGGCAGGGAGCTCCGCGGGGCGGCCTGGCGGGAGTTGCATAGCCCCGGCGCGACCCGGGCTCGAGATGCCAGGGCTGGACGCGCGGCGGAGCGGAACAGGGGCGTCACCTCTTGCCAACTTCAGAGTTGGTCGCTCCTCGCCGGTGCCCGGCCGTGCTCGCCCGCAAGGCCGCGAGCGCCACGGCCAGGCCCGGCCGCACCTGCCGGGCTCGACGTTGCGTTCTCCGCGGACCAAACTTTGTGGACTGTCCGTCCCCGAGCCGGAGCGCTGCTCGGTTCCCGCGGCCCTCAGGGAGGCGGGAAGGCGGCTTTGCTCAGCTCACAGAGCCTAGCCGACCCCGGCCGAAGCCCAGCAGCCGGCGACGAGGGGCGCGGCCAGCCTGGCCCCACCCCTGCCAGTCACCGCGCGGCCCCGCCCACCCGCGCTCAGCCCCTTTCCGGGTTCCTTTTGCAGTCCGGCTCTGGTTAGCCTTTTGCCTGCGGCCCGCGTTATTTTTCAGGTCGCGTCTTGTGACACCATGTCAAAGGACACCTGCTTTACCCGGAACTATTAAGTGTCTTTGGACGCAAGTAGTACTTTTTCTCGACCCAGTGCCTGAGATCGGTGGCCCTTCGGTAGTAAGCCTTTACTATAGCAATTACCAGGCGCTATTATAATTATCTCTTACAGTGTTTATTCATCACTCCCGCCCCCGCCCCCGCCCCAGTTTTGGAAACTGACACTTCTTGTAGGCTGGAGCCTAGATTGTGTACCTTTTTCCCAACAGGGCAGCTTACTACCCTGCTGAGACTCATTAAGAGCGCAACAAAAGGTAAATAAATAGGTAATATGGCTTCATCACTTGCTGGTTCCGTGAACTTGAGAAAATTACTCCTTCGTTCAGTAGTCCTGTAAAATTGAGGTTCATTATCATGAACTCCCTCCTATGGTACTTGTGAACGTTTAGGGAAATACTGTAATTGAACTGTCCCTATCCGATAGCAGCTATCCTTCTCAGTCACAGGAGGTATTAAATTTTGTGGACTTAACCAACCAACCAACTAACCAAACAATCAAACAAAATCCAAGCCGGGCAGTGGTAGCTCACACCTTTAATCCCAGAACTTGGGAGACAGAGGCAAGCAGATCTGAGTTCAGGGTCAACCGGTTCTACAGAGTGAGTTCCAGGACAGTCAGGGCAGCTGCACAACAAACCCTGTCTTGAAAAACAAACAAACAAAATAATTGTGGGCTTAAGATGGTTCCCGGTTTCCTGTGGCACAAGTGGGCAATATTTACAAAGGATAACAAGTTGAGGTTTTCCCACATTTCAGTATTCCTAAGTAAACATTTAGTACACACATAGTGAATATTTAACAGGGAAATGTCTGCTTCTCCAGTCAGTAGTCCTGTGAAGTAGATCTGGCGGTGACTAAGGAAGGGTAGGCATCGAGAAGTTAAGTATTTTACCCAAGATAAAGATCCTAATAAGACAATTCAAATCTGAAACACTCCCACAATTTAAAATTATTTGAGCACCAACACATTGCTGCAGGTGAGAAATTCCATTCAGTGACACCTATTTCACCTGCAGCAGAATTGCTAAAAATACTGTTTTAATTTATCTCCAGGCTACTTGCAAGGTGTATATGAAGCACGAAGGAATTCCATCTACCTGTGTACTGTGGCACGCACGCAGTCACTTACATAATAATAAATGTCAACAAATATTTTCAGTGCTTCTAGGGATTACTCACATATGCCTGCATTGTTCATAGCACTTTACATATATTACCTCATTGAGAGGTGGCCACACCTCTGGGAAGTCAGTGTTGTTTTTTATCTTCATTTAATGATTGAGGAAACTGAGTCACAAATAGTTGAGATAACTTGTTCTAAATCAGTCTTAGCATGTAAAAGAGCTAGACTCAGACAACATGACTCAGTCAAGTAGTCTGGACCAGGCTCCCATCTAGAATCTTCAGATCAAAGATTTTGTCTTAGCGAGGGTATCTTGTGTCCTCTGCTGGCATTGAATTCCTGATTCTCTTGCCTTTACCTCCAAATAATGGGACTATAAATGTGTCACCATGTCTAGCTAGAACAAGGATTTTTTTTTTTTTTTTTTTTTTAGTTTTTAGGTTTTTTTCTTTTTGTTTGTTTTTCAAAACAGAGTTTCTCTGTGTAGCCCTGGCCGCCCTGAAACTCACTTTGTAGATCAGGCTAGCCTTGAACTCACTGAGATCCTCCTGCCTCTGCCTCTCAAGTGCTAGGATTAAAGGTGTGCGCCACCATGGCCTGGGTAGAACAAGGATTTTTTTTTTTAACACCTAACTACTTTCTAGAATAGATTTAATTTAAAAACAGCTGGTCATATTGATGTATGTGTTTAGTTCCAGCACTCAGGAGGTCAAGGCAGGTGGATCTCTATGAGTTTGAGGCCAGTCACCAAAACTAGACCCCTCATTCTCTTTTGGGGAGTATTACTTGGGTAGTATCATAAACTTAGACTATCTGATTAGAGGTAATAGGAAGGAAGGATGGGCTGAATGATAGTACATGTATCAGTTTCAGGTTAAAGAATATATGCAGAGTAAACACATTAGAATTGGTGCCAAATAGGAGAGGCCATCAATGTATAAACTTAAGGGCTGGAGAGATGGTTCAGAGGTTAAGAGCACTGGCTGATCCTCCCGAGGATCTGGGTTCAATTCCCAGCACCCATATGACAAGTGACACTCGTCTGTAACTCCAGTTCTAGGGCTTCTGACACCTTCACACAGATATAAATGCAGCCAAAACACCAATGAACATAAAACCAAGTCACATATTAAAACAAACATATAAACATTAATTCTCTGAAGATGTAGAAAGTGAGTTAATCAGATTAAGATGACATGATTTGGGATTAAATGGCAGAAGACAAACTAAGGACTCTAACAATTTTTTTCTTTTAATCATTTTTATGTGTGATCATGAACTATATATAGCACACATATGGATGCCAAAAGACCACTTGTCAGGTTTTTCCTTGTATTCCATGGGACCTGAGGATAGAACTCATATCAGCAGGCTCAGTACCTTTGTCTACTGAGCCATCCTCTGGTCTCCTCTAAGATTCTTTTTAGGCCAGGTGGTGGTGGCAGCACACACCCTTGTTCCCAGCATTTAGGAGGCAGAGGCAGGAGGATCTCTGTGAGTTTAAGGCCAGCCTGGTCCTTAGAGTGAGTTCTAGGACAGGCTCCAAAGCTACACAGAGAAACCCTGTCTCAAAAAAAAAAAAAAAAAAAAAAAAAAAAAAAAAAAAAAAAGATTAGTTATGTATATGGTATGAGTGTGGAGGTCAGATGACACAGATGTATGACAGCCTCCCCCTGGGTTGGTCTCTATGTTCACCTTGTTACAATAGGCTTGCTGGCTGCAAGTTTTCAGGGATTCTGCTTCTCGGGGTTTGGAGATCCAATCTCAGAATCGAGTTCTTGACCCTGTGCTATGGTTAGCACTGTTGATGGACTTTACAGGGTCTGGAGTCACCTAGGAGATAGGCCACCAGGATTTGCCTGCCATCATGTCCTGTACCCTTGCTCTGTGAACAAAAAGAAACCCTTTTCCCCGTAAGTGGCCTTTGTCATTATACTTTATCACAGCAACAGAAGATTCAGGAATACTCCCACTGGGCCATCTCCAACAACCCCAGGAGGGTACAGAACCCGACAACCCCAAATGACAGGCCAAAATGTTTACAATGGCAGAGAGATAAAAAAGGCAAAATCCTGCACTTTGGTTAAAAATGCCAGTTCACAGGCTGGGGAGGTGGCTGAGGGGTTAAGAGCACTGGCGGTTGGCCACGGGGTGGCATAGAGCTCTTCGGGGACCCGCTGTGCCCTCGCGCACGCTCTCCCAGGTAAGACTATAAGCTCTCAGTTACTGCTCCAGTATCATGCCTGCATAGCTTCTGTCATCCTTTCCTCTGTGATGACCATGGATTTACCTTCTGAAGCTGTTTCTGTACCCAATCAGGGTTAATGAGGACAGTACTTAATAAAAAGAACTACTGAGGCATGCACCCACATGGAAACATCTAAAAGGTATCTCTCCGCTGGCTTGGAATGCATTCCCTGCAGAAAAGAACTCATTGCATTAGGCCAGTCTGAGTATGGACATAAATAACGCTAGATGAATAAAGATATACAGATAACACAATGTTTATCCTTTCTATCAAATTCTGTTCTTGTTTAAAAAAAAAAAAAAGAACACTGGCTGCTCTTCTAGAGGATCCAGGTTCAATTCCCAGCACCCACATGGCAGCTCAGAACAGTCTGTAATTCCAGTTCCTGGAGACTGGACACCTGCACACAGACATTCATGCAGGCCAAAACACCAATGAACATAAAAGTAAAAACAAATAAAAATTATTTTTAAAATACTGGTTTGCTGAAAGGTCAGCTAAGGGGCCAGAGAGAAGGAGTAGTGGGTAAGAGCTCCAACTCTTCTTCCAGAGGACCTGAATTTGGTTTGCAGCACCACATTAGGCGCTTTACTTGTCAATCCAGCTGCATAGGAGCTGACACCATATTCTGGGCTTGTTTGGGATCTGCACTTATATGTCCATTTATACTCACACATTCTCTCTCTCCCTAAACAAAAAATAGATAGAAACTTTAAGAAATTTAAGGTCAGATGACTTTTTGTTTTTGTTTTTTCTTTTGTTTTTTGAGGCAGGGTTTCTCTGTGTAGCCCTAGCTGTCCTGGAATTCACTCTGTAGACCAGGCTGGCCTTGCACTCATAGAGATCCACCTGCCTCTGTCTCCCAAGTGCTGGAACTAAAGGTGTGCGGCCCTGCCAAGGTCAGATGACTTAAATGTTATTTGTAGAAAGACAAATTAGAAGCGGAGCAGTGATGGTGCACAAGCTAGTGATTTGTTTAACTGATGGCATAAGAGCTTACATGCTAGCAGAGTGTGACAGTGTACACCTGTACTCCCGTAGCTCAGAAGGCTGAAATGGACTCCCAGGAGTTGGAGACTAGTCTGAACAACATGTCGAGAACCTGTCTCAAAACAAAAACAAAAGCATGAATGAAGTTCTGGTTCCTTACCTCAGCCCATAAACCAGACATGATGTGTGTTTGCAATACCAGTACTCAGGTGAAGAGAAGATCAGAAGTTTGAGTCCAGTCTGGCATACATGAGACTCTGGCTCAGTGGGTCAGAACAGTTGGTCTGCAAACATAGAAGACCTGAGTTCAACTTCCCAGCACCCACATAAAAGCTGGACACAGCAGCTCAGGCTTGTGACTCCAAGACAGGAGTCCTTGGAGACAGGTGGATCCTCAGAGCTCACTGGCTAGCCAGCCTGGCCAAAGAGGTGGGTTCTAGTTAATAAGAAACCTTGTCTCAAAGAAATACAGCAGAGAGCAGTAGAGGAGGACACACAAACTTTGGATCTGGCCACATGCACCACACACCAGGCACAGAAACACAATGGCTCCCATACGCTCCTATGTTTGAATATTTGGTTCCAAGTTGGTGGAATTGTTTGGGAAGGGTTAGCAGGTGTGGCCTTGTTGGAGGGATGTGTGTAAACAGGCATAGGCTTTGAGGCTTCAAGAGACCCGTTTGATATCCAGTGTCTCCTCTGCCCTGCGGTTGTGGATCAAGATGTGAACTCCCAGCGGTTCCTTCACTCCACCATCATGGGCTCTGACCCTGACAAAGGCCAAGTGAAACACGTTCTTTTATAAGTTGCCTTGGTCATGGTGTTTTAGTACAGCAGAAACTAAGACACACACACACACACTGGAAATAGTACTGGATTCTGGAGCCAGCCAACCTGTCTTTGGTTTACATACACACACACACACACACACACACACACACACACACACACACACTGGAAATAGTACTGGACTCTGGAGCCGCCAGCCTGTTTTGATTTCAGTGAAGCCATCTCAAGGTTAGACTTGGGCTGCATTGTTCATTTCTGTGCTTGACAAATGGGCAAGCTGTTGGAGGAAGTCCCAGTCCCTTTCCATGTGAGCATTTTCACTGGCTGTCTGAGAGTCCTCATGCTGTGGCAGCTGGCTGCTCGAAATGGAGAAGCCACAATGGAACAAAGTGGAAGGACAACATCTCTAACACCAATCTCAGTTTCACATACCAAAGCTGGCAATGCAGCTCAATGATGTTAGCCTGCTGTGACGGTTAGCTTCTGTCAGCTTGACATATCCTAGACACATCTGGGAAGAGGGAATCTCTTTGAAGAATTGCTTCCCTCAGATTGGCCTGTAGGAAATCTGTGGGGGCATTTTCTTGATTAATGATTGGGGTGGAAGTGTCCAGTCCATTGTAGGAGGAGCCACTCTGGGCAGGTGGCTCTGGATTGTATAAGAGCAGGCTGAGCAAGCTGTGAGAAGCAAGCCAGTAAGCCGCTTACCTCTGTGGTTCCTGCCTCCAGGTACCTGCCCCTGTTTGACTTCCTGCCTTGGTTTTCCTCAATGCACTGTGACCTGGAATATGTAAGCAAGCAAACAAACAAAACCACAAAAAAAGCAAAACCCTTTCCTCTTCTAGCTGCTTTTGGTCAGTGTTTTATCATAGCAGGATGTGAAACAAGACAAGCAAAAGAAAACTTCCATAGGCATTCCTAGTCACAAAAGGGAGTGAGATATACATAGTACCCACTAGTCCACAGATATCCCAAGTCCAGAAGGGGATGGCTTGGCCATTGGCTTTAGAACTCAAGACCTGAGCATACTTTTTCAGAGTGCTGACTCATCATTTTCTGTCTTCTGGGAGGGTTTTCAACCTCCCTTTTTTGTTTTAGAACTTGGTGGTTCAAAGGTTGCGTCTCATTTTGCATCATTTTTGCATCTCTCAAACTAAGCCAGCAGGGATTCTGTCAATATAATTCTTTTAAGACTTTTGTGGATCTTTAATTGGTGAGATGGCTGAGTGGGTAAAGGCATCCGTTTCCAAGCCTGACAGCCTGAGTTCAATCCCTGAGACCCGTGTGGCGGATGGAGAGAACTGAGTCTCTCCCACAAGTAGTCCTTTGACCCTCTACCCACACACTGTGGCATGTGCACCCCCACATATGCAAAAATTAAAATGATTTATGTTTTTTCAAAGAAAACTTTGGTGGATTCCCTGTGAATCATCCCAGGGCTCTGTTAATGAAAGTTGTGGGGCTGGAGAGATGGCTCAGTGGTTAAGAGCATTGGATGCTCTTTCAGAGAACCCAGGTTCAATTTTCAGCACCCACATGGCAGCCCACAGCTGTCTGTAACTCCTGTTCCAGGAGATCTGATGCCTTACTACACATATACTTGCAGGCAAAACACCAGTGTACATAAAGTAAAATAAACAAATTATTTTTAAAAAATGAAAATTGTACCCACAAATGCTATTGGAATAATTCTCTTCTCTGAGACTGGTAAAGAATATCAGTGTTCATATTTTTTATTTTTGTTGCTAAGAGTGGTGCTTGGGAGGAAACTTAGGGCATCATGCATGCAATGCCCACATTCTGCTTCTGAGCTACATTCAAACCCTGTTTAGTTTCTTCTTTTTTTAAAGATTTATTTAAAGTGTGTGTGTGTGTGTGTGTGTGTGTGCGTGTGAGCATGTGCACGCACACATTCATAGGAGTTGGGTCTGAGGCTCCAATCTACCTATAGTTGGAGTTATAGGTGGTTATGAACCACCCAAAATGAGTGCTGGGAACAGAACTTGGGTTCAGCTGGAGGAGCAGAAAGTGTTCCTAACCACTGAGCTATCTCTCCAATACTTATAGTTTTGACTTTTTTTTGGTGGGGGGTGTTTCAAGGCAGGGTTTCTCTGTGTAGCTTTGGAGCCTATCCTGGGACTCGCTCTGTAGAGCAGGCTATCTCTGCCTCCCACCTGCGGGATTAAGGCGTGTGCCACCACCACCCAGCTTCATTGTTTCTTGAATATGGCTTGGACTTAGTCCTCACTTCTGATAGAACTAGCAGAAGTGACAGCATGTAACTCCAAGAGTAATACAGAGCAAGTAACATTGGCTTTCCTCTTTGCTGTCTCTGGGATTGTTATCTGAGGAAAGCTAGCTGCCATGTTGTGGTCTTCTGTTCAGGAACAGAAGCTCCCACCACTTCCAGAGTGACCTTGCCAGGCACAGGAGGAATGAGTCCTCTTGAGGAAAGCCTTCAGATGTCTGTGGACCCAGCTAAGACCTGGACAACAGCCAAATGTGAGTTCCTGGACCAGGTCCACAGGTGTCAGGCACTGACACCTTCAACACTTGAATTTTCCTCACTTTCTTCAGCTGCATCCCTTACTTTGTACACAACTTCAGTCTAAGCACCCTTATTAAACTCCAGTATAACAAGCATAGCCTTACTGTCTGTTCAAAACATTCTCCCTTTCCTATAAAGTTTTAATTTCCGTCTTTAAAATGATAAAGGATTTACTTATTGTATTGTGTGCCTGACATGTAAATGCATCACATGCGTGTGAGTGTCTGTGGAGGCCAGAAGAGGGCGCTGGATCCTTGGACTTTATAGGCAGTTGTGATCCACTTGAGAGTTGAGTGCTGGAAATTAAACCCAGATTCTCTACAAGAGCAGCAAGTGCTCTTAACCTTTGAGCTCTACCTCCCTAAAAGTCTTCATAAAAGGCCATCATGGATCTAAAGCTACTCTGAGGCACTTAGGTTTTCATTAACATGTATCTCAGGCTTTCTAGCTTCTGAAGATGGGAATGTCAAAGAATTAAGTGTCTTGGCTTATAGAAAGCATTATGTGGCAGTGGCAGTTTTTCTCCCAACCAGACTGCAGTGAATTACTGAAATTATACTCTTTGCAAGGTGCTAAAATGACCTCTCTTTCCCTTCCTTTATTTCAAAGGCTCCTTTTTCATCAGAATAAGCCTGTTTTTGCCAGACATCATGGTACATACCTATGATTCCAACATGCAGGAGCCTGAGGCAGGAGAAATAGTTCAGAGTCATTCTTAGTTACAAAGTGAGTTCAAGTCCAGCCTTGGCTACATGAGACCCTGTATCAACAAAACAAAACACCAACAACCAAGCAAACAAGCTAAAGCCCAATCTTTACAGTGATGCACAAGGCACTATGGTCTTCTGTGCTGGTACCTGGCTGACCTCCACTCTTCCAGTTTTCTTCCTTGTTCCTTCTGTCCAGCCACACTACCTAGATCCCTATGGATTTCATGACAGCCATGCTGTCATCTCAGGCTTTTGGCATTTTATTCCCTTTGCTTGGAAGGTTCTTCCTGAGAACTAACTACATGGCTTGTTTGCTAATAGCCCGAGATCCCAGCGGGGCCTTCCCTAAAGTCTCATCGAAATAGAGTCTCCCTCACCCACCTACATTTTCCCTCACTGTGAGTTGCTATCCAATATACTATATATTATCCTAATTTATCCCTTTTGCGTTCACTTCGCTGACAAGAATAGATGTCCCAGGAGAACAGAGATCATTTGCTTTCTGCTATGTCTTTGGTACTACAAATGATGCATGTGTTGGTGTTCAGGGAATACTTGCTGACTGAATAAATGAAGGAATGAATTAATCAACAAGTCAATGCTGGTCACAGGCATCTCTTAGAGGATGCCTTTCCATCATCTATTTGGCCACCCTTTGCATTATTGCTCATTAAAGAGGAGGTAGAAAAGTTGAGGCCTATGTCGGTTAGGACACCTGCCAGGGTCTTTTTGGTGCTCCTTCACAACTCCATGTCTCATGGGCACAGGATATCTAACTTCACAGGAGACAAGGGCAATGGGAAGTTTATGAAGCAAGTTATGCCAGATGCCAGAAAGGGTTCAGGAATAAGGTCTTAAGCGGACTGCTGAACCCAGGGTCCCGGGCACAGATGTGGCAGAATGATCAGAGTTTATGAAGCCCACGTGGGGGCAGTGTGACAGCTCGAAACTCTGAGGAGGGTGCAGAAGAAGCTCCTCCTGCAGACCTGTGCCCAAATCGTCTGCAACACCGGGACTCAGGGCGGGACAGTGACGGAAACTGACTTTTTGCCTTGGTGGCTGCGAGGCTAAGAACAGCTGTGGGCTCCGTCTGGCCCATAGCTCCACCCCTTTAAGTACAGGTGTCTAGAGAGGAAACAGGGAAAGTGGGAGGGAGGGTGTTGGTTTCCTTGACTCTTACCAGCTTTACCCTGGTTGGTTCTAGGTTCCCCAGGGTCGACTTCCAGTCCCAACATCAAACACTAGGGGGCGATACCACCCTGCAAACCCTGCCCAGTTGATTTCTGCTGTAGAGGTGGGCGGGACCCACAGAGTAGGATGGGTGCTCTTCTAGCTCCTTTCTCAGCTTCCCTTCTGGTAGAATTTACATGCAGTCTTGCACAAGTTGGGTATGGGCAGGGTTGGCCTCTGTGGCACGGGACAGTACAATGTAATGACACAGTTGGAGGTGTCTGCTATACAGATTAGAAGGAAGTGGAAAGAGGAACCCTGCTGGCCTTCCAGGACTGGGTGAAGGCTGGGCTAGCCATGTCACTTGAAGGCTTGAAATCTTAAGAGTCTACCTGGATGTATTTCTTTTGGTAAATTTTTCTTTTTCCATACTAGGAACCCAACCCAAGAGAGCCCTTTCTTATGCTGGCCAAGGATTGTACTACTGAGCTGTTCCGTGTGTGTGTGTGTGTGTGTATGTATGTATGTATGTATGTATTATGTATTATGTATGTATGTATGTATGCATTGATTTAGATGCAGGAGCTCATGTCATGAATGCCATTCCTGGAGCTCCACATCAGATTCTGTCTCAAGGGAACAGCAAAAGGGTAGAATCAGAAGCTCATGGTTACCCTTGGCTACTCAAGGAGTTCGAGGTCAGCCTGGCCTACTTGAGATCCTGTCTAGATATGTAATAGATACTTAGATGATAGATAGACAAGAATATGCTGCCATGTTTGAATATACTCCCAGAAGCTTGTTGTATCCAAGACATATTTTCAGAGAAATCATGCTACCAGCACAAGACTAGGCACTGAGTAGATGCAGAAACCATTTTTGGGACTGAACTTGTCCTCGGGCCCACTGCTACATGTCACTAAGTGCTGAGTGAAGGGAGACTCTGACTGTGAATGGATCAAAGTGGCTGGAGCCTGGGGCATGCACACAAATCTAAGTTTTCTGAGTCACCAGACATGTTTTGTTTTTTGTTTATTTTTATTTTTATTTTTTTTAACACAGTGAAAGGATTTTCATTAACAATATGTAAAGAGGGCAGATGAGATGGCTCAGCAGATAAAAGCATTTGTTATGTAAGCTTGACTTCTTGAGTTTGATCCCCTGAACCCATGTGGAAGGAGAGAGCCATTTCCATCTGTGTGCTGTACATGCCTACTCTCATCATGCTTGTGCATGTGCGCGTGCACAAACACATTATTGTGTTCTCACGTAGCCAAAAATAGCCATGAACTTCTGATCCTCTGGCCTCTACCCTTTTTCTGTTCGATTGAGACAGAATCTGACCTAGAGGTCATTATATGAGATCTTTCATCTAAATGAAAACACACATTAGCGCATGTGTGTTATGTGTGTGTGTGTGTGTGTGCGCGCGCGCAGGCTCGTGAGCGCGTGCGTACATGTATGTGCGCATGTAGCGCATGTGCAGTAGTACAGGCCTGCAATCCCAGCACTTAGAAGGCCAAGGCAAAGGATCAGGGGTTCTTGGGCAGCTTAGGTTTCACAGTGAGAACCTATCTCAACAAAACCAAAAAAAGCATGAATGAGCAAAAAAGATGGTCAACCTTATTAGGATTTATAGAAATGCAAACTAAAATGACAGTGAGCTATCACTCCACTCCATTAAGATGACCAAGCCTGGTGAATACATATACCAGTGAAAATATGAAGCTGTAAAGCTGTTAGATTGCTATACAGCAATAAATAAAATGTAGCCATGCATACCATCATAAGCAAAGCTTAAAAAAAAAAAAAAGACAGGGAATAAACAAAGTGAATTCCAGGGGAGTCCATTTAGAGAAACAGGAAAGCCTCAGAGCTGGGGAGATGGCTCAGTGGTTAAGGTTACTGGCTGCTCTCGAAGAGGACCTGAGTTCAGCTTCCAGAACACACATGGAGGCTCACATGTAACTCCATTTCCAGGGGATCCCATGCCCTCTTCTAGCTTCTGTGGGGACCAGACCCACATGTGGTGCACTTATGTTCAGGCAAAATACTCATACACATAAAATAAAAATAAATCTTTAAAAGAAAGAAGGGCAAGGAAACACCACAATATCCAAGGACTTGGTAACTTTCCTGGAGGGAATTTGGGGAACACACAGGGACCCTTTAAAGATATTGGCTCTATTTTGCTTTGTTTTGTTTTGTTTTTGTTTTGTTTTTCAAGGCAGGGTTTTTCTGTACCTTTGGAGGATATTCTGGAACTCACTCATCAGGCTGGCCTTGAACTCACAGAGATCCACCTGTCTCTGCCTCCGAAGTGCCAGGATTAAAGGCGCGCACCACCACTGCCTGGTTTTTTTTTTTTTTTTTTTTTTTTTTTTCCTGTCTCTTTTGTGGGGGAGGGGGAGGCCTATTTTCTTAAGTGATGTAATAGACACGCTTCTGTTTATTCTTCTTCTCTAACTTGCAAGGAGCTAGTTTTTATTCCTCTTTTGTGGGCAGCCTGGCATAGCCCCACTGGACAAGTTAGGGAAGTGCCTGAGATGGGAAATCCAGTGAGTGAACAGGATATGACCCATGCTGAAACCCATCTGGTCCCTGAGTCAGTGAGCTACTTGGGGCAGTCAGAGGATGCCCTTCCGACATCCACTATAGTGCCACCCCTTCTGTCTGAGCGTTCTGTCATTTTCTACCCAGGTGTAGGTCTCTGTTTTCAGACAGCATCTCATGTAACCCAAGCTGGAAGTTCTGATATTCCTGCTTCTATCTCCAGAGTGCTAGGGTTATGGATGTGTATGTACCACAACACCTTGTTTTGTGTGGTGCTGGGATGCAACTCAGGCTAGTCAAGCCCTCTACCCATTAAGGTACATCACCAGCCAGAAATGGGCCTTTGAGAGCTGGAAGGAATGGACCTCTTTTAAGCCATGAAGGCCTCAATGACCGAGGATAAGTAGTTTGTAGGGGGACCAGGCCTCAGCTAGGATGCAGAGTAAGCTGCCCCCCTGGATATGTGATGACAAACCTGGTCTGAAGTGTCTAATGGTCCTGCTGTAGAGCTCCAGGACTAGTGGCAAGGGAGGACAGAGGGGGTTGAGGCTGGCTGTGGAAGGCAGGCTTGGAAGGAACTAAGTCATTGGAGGTGGGCCAGCATGGAAAGTATGTGTGTGTGAGCTCACTGGGAAGCTGGTTTCTGTCCAGTCAGAACTGCCTGCCTTCCAGGCCCTAGCTGATTAGCCCCAATGCAAGCTGCCCCTGGACCTCCCCCAACTCCCCAAGACTGAGGGGGGGAAAAGCTGGAAGTCCTAGGGGTAGGGGTAGGGAGATGAACTTAGATTGAGGATGGGTACAAACTGGGTACAGGGACTGTAGGACAACAGCTGGAGCTAAGGCTGGAGTTTTGTTTTCTAGGGGTTTCTGGGAATAGTAGTCACTCCTCTGAAGGTTTTGGCGAATGCCTGTTCTTTGTACAGCTGTTCAGCATTGTCTCCTACTGCTGTTGCATGCAAGTACTTTGTCCCCTCTAGTCTCTGAGTCTTTGTGGCACCTTCCTTCCTTCAGGACACAGGCTCCTGTCCCTGAGAAGCTAAGTGGTAGGCTGCAAATTAGCTTCCTTTTCTGAGGAGCTTCCCCCATGCCCCGTTCCCCACTCTGGCTGCCTCCACTGATCTACTGCCTGGCACATCGAGCAAACACAGATACCTTGACAGTTTCCCAGAGCACACTCCCCTGAAGTTACCCAGCTGCTTGGGTCCACACTGGAAGAAGTGCTCAAGAGGCCTTGTCAGAGTTTGCTTGCATAGGAAGTCAACCCAGGGAGGCTTGGTTTTTTGTTTTGTTTTGCAGTACTGAGGATCAAACTCAGGGCTGCTTGTGTCAGGCAAATGTTCTACCACTGATCCGTAGCCCTAGTCCCTGATAATGGGCTTAAATTTGGACAAAAGAACTGTGACGTGGAGGCTGGAGAGATGGGAGAGATTGCTCAGTGGTTAGAGTACTGACTGCTCCTCTAGAGTACCTGGTTTCAATTCCCAGCACCCATATGGCAGCTCACAACCGTCTGTAACTCCAGTTCCAGGGAACCTGATACCCTCACACAGACATACATGGAAACAAGCTGAAATAAAATAGATAATTTAAAAAAACAAACAACAAAAACAACAACAACAAAAAACCCCAAAACACAAAAACACAAGAGAGGTGACTGCAGAGCTCAGTTCCTTTGTCTGTAAAAGGAGCCTGTGTTGGGGCCTCTGTCGCTCTGTAGAGTGAAGGCCTCAGCAGTTGCTCTTCCCCAAACTGCAGCAAGGGCAAGGAGGATGCAAGGGGGAAAGACTGGGAAGTCTGTTAGATTGTGGGGGAAAGGTACTGCGAGAGGGCAGGGAAGGACCAGCAGGGCTAACCAGATTGTAGTGAGCAGAGATGTCTCTACTCATACTCTCTCAGAGGGTGTGGCTCCTCTAAGGTCTTCTCTTCCCTGGCTTTGAACAGGTGGTGGCGGGATCCCTGGAAAAGGAGAGTGATGAACAGAGAGGACCCCACCTCAGGTTGTGGGGTGTGTTGATGGGCAAAGTGCTCTCCTTCTTGTCCTTCCTTCCCACTCCAGTATCTTCTTAGTCCAGGGTCCCCAGGGCTGCCCAAACCTCCTCACATAGTCCACTTGGCTCCTTCTGGCTGCCCCAACTCACAAGCGCTGCTTTCGAATAAAGGAACTTGGAACCATAGAAACTGGGTCAGGCCCAGCAGACAAATCAGCCAGGCCAGTGAAAACAGTTTGCAGGTCCTTGGGAGCCAGAGGGCCCTCTGACTCCTGTCATCCTCATGGTGGCTCACTCAAGTGGGGCCTTACGACCACTAAGGCTTCTTCTAAGGTCACCGGGCAACCTCATGGAATACAGTGGGTGAGTCCAAGTGCATCATCAGCAC